CCAACGCTAAATGATAACATAGGAGTGCAAGATGATGAAGACGCTCACAATCAAAGTCAGAGGAGCGTCTTGAACGAACTTGAATCAGTCAACAATGAAAATGTCATCTTGAAACTGACGAATCAACTTGCCGAGCTAATTGGCAGCAACACACGTGTAGAAGAAACCAATAAACCGCTGGACAAAGTTAATGAAAAGCTAATCCCGAGAGAACTTTTCCCACAAATAAATCAAGCCATCTGTGAGGTCATTAGCCAAAAAGAAAAACATGGTGAGGAAATTATATTAACAATATTACGAGATGTGATCTATGCAGCTGGCCAGCTAACCATCAAAGAATCAGGCCAAGAAAAAACAACGAGACCCAAAAGAAAGAAATGGCTCGGAGACCCGCCCTGGAAACGCAGACTAATGGCCAAATTAGAAGACCTTCGGAAAGAAATATCTCAGCTAACAGAAATCAGAAAAGAAATTGAGAGTAACCGCATGGAAAAACGAAAGCAGGTCCTTTACCAAAAATACAGTGTAAGCTCCAAAGCTGATCTAACGGAAACCATCGAAAGACTAATACAAAAACTACAAGCCAAATCGGCAAGAATAGCGAGGTATGAGAAGAGAGCCAAACAGTTCTGGCAAAATAAGACATTTGCTGAAAACCCTTCAAGAATCTACAGAAAATTACACCAAAAAATAGAAGTTCCGGAAAAAGGACCCAAAGAAGACGAAGTCGAGTTGTTCTGGAAAGGTATCTGGGAAACTGAAAATGATCACAACCAAAACGCACAATGGATACAGTCCGAAAAAGACAAAAACAGCGAAATACCGGAGATGATTTGGAACGAAATAACTGAAGCAGAAGTAAAGCGACTAGTGAATAAAACCTCCAACTGGAAAGCCCCTGGCTTTGATGGTATACAGAACTTCTGGCTCAAAAGGTTAAATGGAATCCACAAGCACTTAGCACAATGCTTCAATAACTTAATAGAAGGGAAAGCAAGAATACCCGAGTGGCTAATGAAAGGAAGAACGTTCCTCTTTCCCAAGAACAAAAGGACGGAAAAAGCGAAAAACTACAGGCCTATAACCTGCCTGAGCACAAACTACAAACTCCTGACTAGTATCATCACTGACAGACTTCACAACCATCTGTTTTGGAACGGTTTATTCCCACCCGAACAGAAAGGATGTGCTAAGAAGACGTGCGGAGCCAAAGACCACCTTATGCTCAGCAAAGCGCTGATTGAAGATTGTAAAATAAACCGCAAAAACCTGAGTGTCACATGGATAGACTATAAAAAAGCCTTTGATAGCGTACCACACAGTTGGCTGATCGAGACTCTCAGGATACACAGAACATCCAGTACAATAATTAAGTTTCTTCAAGAAGCGATGAAGTGGTGGACGGTGGACTTAAACTTACGAACGAGTGAAAATACTTTACATATCAGAAACATCCGCATAAAAAAAGGGATATCCCAAGGAGACTCCCTGTCACCTTTCCTATTCTGCATGGCCTTGATCCCTTTGTCATCTATGATAAATAACCTCAAATCCGGGTACCAGATGAAAGGAAGTGAAGTCAAAGTAAATCACTTGTTGTACGTAGATGATGTAAAACTTATTGCAAAGAATGACGACGAGCTGCGAAAACAGATAGAGGTTGTGAAAGAATTCAGCGATGATATAAGGATGGAGATTGGGATTGATAAGTGTGCCAAAGCCTCCTTTGTGAAAGGGAAACTTAAAGTACAAGAAAACATCCAGGTAAACGAGGTCATCCAGTCTCTACAACAAGAAGAAGTTTATAAATATCTTGGCATCGATGAACATGATGGCATCCATTACCAACAAATGAAGGACAAGATAAGAAAGGAATACACTGAAAAAAATAAGATGCTGTTTTAGCACCTGGGGTGTCAAAAATGTGTCTGGTAATCCCAAGATGCTGCCTTTACTGCCCCCGCAGTTAACTTTACATTCTGTGAATGCAAAGTCAACTGCCTGGTCAATCAAGGCAGCATCTTCAGATCACTTGACACATATTTGACATCGTGGGTGCTAAAATAGCATATCATTTTTTTCAGTGTACTTCCGAAGAACACGCATGATTCTCAAAACAGAGTTAAATGGGAGAAATAAAGCAATCGCCGTCACAAGCTTAGCCTTACCTGTCATTAGTTATAGTTTAGGCATAATCAAGTGGACAAAAGAAGAACTCCGGAGAGAAGACACTAAGACCAGAAAGCTCCTGACCATCCATGGAATGCTACATCCCAGAGCGGATGTTGACAGGCTCTATGTCTCACGGGATGAAGGTGGAAGAGGCTTTACTGAGATCGCATCCCTAGCATACATAAACGACATTGGAACAGGCAATTACCTCAAAGTCAAAAGCGACGAAAAACTACTCGGGCTTATCTACCAATATGAAAAAGCAAAAATTGAGAAGGTGCGCAAGGGACTCCCATAAGAAGAATTAATTGAAAACACGAACGCTGGTAAAACTGAGACAGAAAGAGTGAAACAAGCCAAGCAAATAACTAAAGGCAGGATACAGAAAGAAAAAAAGCGTAATTGGGAATCAAAAAAAATGCACAGCCAGTACCTCTCTGAAACCAAGAAAGAACACGTTGATTGCCAGCTAACCTGGAAATGGCTTCGAAATGGTGGCCTAAAAGGAGAGACGGAATCACTAATCACAGCATGTCAAGACCAAGCTATTGCGACAAACTATCACAAAGCTAAAGTACTAAAGCAAGTAGTGGATCCGAAATGCCACCTTTGTAAAACTGAGCCTGAAACCATACATCATATAGTATCTGCATGCCCAATCCTCGCAAACAGAGAGTACATTGAACGCCACGATGCAGTCGGAAGCCATCTCCACTGGAACATCTGCAAACACTACAACATTGATACATGCGAGAAATGGTACGAACACAAACCGGACCCGGTTACTGAATCCACACACGTTACAATAATCTGGATTACGCAAATACAAACCGACAGATGCGTTCCGGCGAACAAACCAGATATTATAATCAAAAACAAAAAGGAGAAGACCTGCATCATTATCGACGTTGCTATCCCCTCAGACTACAACATCGTCCAGAAAGAAGCCGAAAAGCGAACCAAATATAAGAACCTGGCAATCGAAACGCAAAGAATGTGGGGGATGAAAACACAAGTTGTTCCGGTAATAATTGGAGCAACACGCACCATCTCTAAAAGTGCAGCTAAGGCAATCTCAGAGATTCCGGGCAGACACAACCTCAGCGCTCTCCAAAAGACAGTCATCTTGAAGACAGCTCATATTGTTAGAAAAGTCATGGACTGAAGTACCTGAGAAGTGAGGTACACTTCTGGTACTTCGGCCGCTAGGAAAAATTTGCCATCCTTGAGGCGTGATATAAGGTCATAATAATAATAATAATAAATCTGCAGGGAGGACTGTCTATGGTCTGGGGTATTGACGCACCTCCTTTCCCGAGTTACTCTGGACGCACACTCTATGTGCCAAGGAGTACTTAATGAAAAGCCCAACCCGGGGTGTTATGCGAACCGTGCCCATCGGGTCCCTTGGCACCAGGGCGCTTAAGTTGGTGTCGACCTACGGAGCCCTGGGATACCAGGCGCCCTCCCAGAGTTAATATAGCCTTACCCGGAAAGAGGTTACGGGTGGACCCTCTTAAATCCTCATCTTACTCGTGGGAACAAATATGGAAACGCGCAACTCTAAAGCAAGAAAAACACAAAACTACAAACGAAAAACCGACCGAACCGATGATAATGCAGAAGAATTGACTCAGGTCTCTGGGACAACACGGAAAAGAACGCAGAAACAGCAGAATCAGCTGAATCAAACACCACAGGCCCAAAGCCCACCACCAACTAGCCCTGCCGGTAAGATCACAAACGCACAGCGTAGGCAAGCAACAGAGCGAGTAAAGTGGACCACAGAAGAGTATGAAGAAATAATATGGTGCTACTGGTACATCAAAGAGAGCACTCAAAGCTGCAATATAAACGCCAACTATGACCTCTGGAGAAAAAGGAATCCGAACACCCGCCCGCATATCGATGCAAACAAGCTCGCCACACAAAGACGATTCATTGCGAAAAACCAAAAACTAAGTGAGGCACAAATTGAAGAAATCAAAGCTGATGTAGCCGCAAACCTAGCAACACAATGTGAACGGGGTGTCACCAGAAAAACGCAAAATACCAATAACAACCAAAACTCCCCTACCACAATGAATAATGCAGCCAACCACACCCAGAGAGTACAATGGAGCGAAGAGGAATACAAAGAAGTCATATGGTGCCATTGGTTTGTTAAGGAAAACACGGGCATCCACAACATAAAGGCCACCTACGAGCTATGGAGGCAACGAAACCCTAATGCCCGCCTGCATCTCAACGCTAATAAGCTAGCCACGCAACGAAGATACATCGAGAACAAGAAAAAACTAACCGAACAACAGCTTCAAGAAATTAAAGACGATGTTCACTCCACCATAGAAGCACCCACTGACCAACACACAACTGAAAGCTCACCAGGTGATGCCACAAACGACGAGAACCACCCGCCGAGACGGAATGATCCAACTGACCCCAGGGAATCAGAGTCAACGCCAGACATACCTCAAACCAACGAAACTCCCAGAAGAAGTAAGCAGCTAAGAATACCATCTCCAGAACCAGAACACGAAACAACTCCCCAAGAGCAGAACAAGGCGAGTACACTAGAAACAACGACCTCTACATCAAAGCTAAGAAGCGTGTATCAAGAAGTTCTCGAGATGAATCTGGAAGAAAGAGAGCTGATAAGGAAAATAAAGGGGGCGAAAAAAGACAAAGAAATCATCATGCGAACTAACAATGAAGTACAAAATATGCTTGAGAGCGAAGAAAATCTCGACCTGTGGAAAATCAACTGCTTGCTCTGAGCTGCAGCCCTCACAATCAGTGACGAGTCGAACGGCCCAAAAGGAACTAAAATGAACAAGAAAGAAAGTAAGCCCTTATGGCAAAAAAGAATTGAGTTCAGAATCCAAGATCTGAGGAGGAACCTTTCAGTACTAGCTAACTTCAAAATAACGAGCAAGGAAAAAGGACAACAGACAACCCACAAAGTCCAGTCAATCCTGGATAAATACACCGCGGAAGGAAAAGAAAGCAGTATAGACAATGTAATGGAGCAACTGAGGCAACGTATTGCTGTCTTTAGCCAAAGAATAAGAAGATACCAGAAAAGATCAAATCAATTCTCTCACAACAGAAGCTTCGAAACCAACTGCAAAAGCTTCTACAGGAACATCAAAGGTGACTCCTCCGACATCGATGAAACCCCAGAGAAAGAAAAGGTGGAAGAGTTCTGGAAAGGAATCTACGAAGTCCCTACACAGCACAACTCCGAGGCTGGGTGGATCAAAGACTCAGAGGTCACGAACAACAAAATGGAATGGACAGATCTCGGTGATGATAAACTGATAACTACCATAAAAAATCTTGCAAACTGGAAAGCACCCGGCCCAGATAAGATACAAAGCTTCTGGTTCAAAAAAATCCCTAGCATCCATAAGTACCTAACAGCCGAGTACAATAAATTACTGAACGGGAAAGAATTCCCACCATGGTTAGCCAAAGGGACTACATATCTGATAGCAAAGAATAGAGAAACGGCAAATCCCAAAAACTGTAGGCCCATAACCTGCCTCAACATAACGTATAGGATCTTCACGGCACTTATGTCCCCGAAAAACGTACAAATACCTAGAAAGTGCCAAACTACTCCCGATAGAGCAGAAGGGGTGCCGCAAAGGAGCTAAAGGGTGCCTCGACCAACTCTTAATATCCAAAACCATCATTGAGGACTGCAGGAAGAACAAGAAGAACCTATCGATCGCATGGCTGGACTACCAAAAAGCCTTCGACAGTATGCCCCACGGCTGGATCATCCGTGCACTGGAACTCATGGGAGTGCACCCGAATATAGTAAACGCCTGTAAGAACATGATGGAGCACTGGTCAACATGCATCCAACTAAGAGGAAAAACAGATACAATTATCACCTCTGAAATTAAAATAAGACGAGGAATCTACCAAGGGGGCGCGTTTTCCCCCCTTCTGTTCTGCGTTGGATTAATACCCTTCTCTACACGACTAAACAACATGAACAATGGATATAACATCGAGGCAGGCCATAAACAACTGACGCACCTCCTGTATATAGATTATCTGAAACTGTTCAGCAGCAGCGACGAGAAACTGCAAAATCAACTCGAGACGGTGAAAAAATTCAGTGGCGACATAGGTATGAAATTTGGCCTAGATAAGTGTGCCAAGGTAACCTTCAAGGAAGGTAAATACATCCACGGAGAAAACATGGATGTAGACGTTGACACTAGCATCCGACAGTTAGACCCAGGTGAAACATACAAATACCTCGGAATGGAAGAAAGTATAGGTATCCAGCATAAGACAATAAAGAGAAGGTAAAGAGAGAATACATACGACGAGTAAGAGCAGTACTAAAGACAAAGCTAACGGCAAAAAACAAGATAACTGCAATCGGAGCGCTAGCTGTACCCGTTCTACAGTACGGATTTGCTATTCTAAATTGAAAATGAAAGAAATAAATATATCTCGAGAACGGTGCGTCCTAGACGATTTTTTGACGAGACCAATCCGTTACATTTCGATTATAAATTCAATGAGACCAATGGGAAGCCTCCAAAACAGTTAGGAAGCATAAAATCAATCAATCAATAATAATTTTATGGGATCAACCGTATTGCTTTCAGGGACGTGTTGTAACCCGCGATGGACCGTTCGATCTAACATTTAAGGTAGGGTAAAAGATGGATATTCGGGTCCAAATTACTTCACACTCGATAATTTACCATCGTTTTAAATAGAGTACCTGTATATAGCGAGAGTATAGACGGATGTGAAACTCCGAAAATCCATAAGGCCTTCACCGATGCCTCCGTGAATGAAGTTAGGGCTCAAAAATGCAGCCAACCTACGAATTTCAATCATCCAGAGCGCTTTACTAATACAATTGTTACGAATCATCGTTTATAAAGCATATATTTGACTTAGTTTTTGCAAAAATTTACTCATTTTTTGCGGAAGAACGCTCGTTTATGTACATTCTTAACCATATTGGTTAGAATTGGAGTCTACAGACTGGCAGTGAAATTTTGGGTGTTAGAAGTTGGTTAGAAGGGTGGCTGCACTTTGGGCCCAAAACCCTCCGTGAAGCGATCTGTCCATACTCTCGCTATAAAGGTACTCTAGTTTTAAATAGGAATACATCAGTATTCAATTATTTCGATTCATTACCATATAGTTTTTAATATGAATACATCGATGGTCAATTATTTCGATTCTTCACCGTAACATTAAATGGAAAATCTAGTCAGTTGATGCTTGCGAATATTTACCGTAATGGACCACCAGACGAGTTTCTTAGCCAAAATTTTACGTAAACCATGATGCGCACACCGAAAATTACCGAAATATGATTCTTGCTGTGTAAATTTAAACTACCCGCTCATGAAAGCTCAATGCTCCGCGTGATTCACATCACACGCTAAACGTTATCACGACAGTATTTGCGATATAAAAATCTTGGCACTTTGGATCATAGCTATAGCAAATTGTTTACAATTTGAACAACACATGATGGGAAATGAATACTTATTGCTTGATTGAGAAGCTTGCTGAAAGCGTTGTAGTGCTCGATTTGATCGTCGTAGAACTTTGAGTTTCGAGCAGTTCAAATTCCCCGTAACCAATGTGAAATGAAAACGTTAATATCTTCGTTAGGAGTTGGTTTCAGTAATTTAGTTGCGTGAATCGTGTTCTCCGTGAAG